AAGTGACTATAGTCAGAGAATGGAACAAGTTCAAGGTGTGAACCTGGCACATCCCAATATTTGGAAGCTGGAAAGATGCAGAGGAAAGAGCCCAGAGACTGAGAAGCAGTTAGTGAGTTGGAAGGCAAAGAGGATAGAACTCATCTTGGGGCCCAAAGGAAGAAGTATTTGAAGAAATAACAAATATTATTGTTCATAATAAATACTGCAAAGAATCTGAAGAGCAGAAAATATGATGCCAGACAGGGAACAATCAACCAATCATCAAGAACAGGTAAACATTCAGCAACTCAGTGAGACCCTGTCTCAGAATAAAAAATAGAAAATAAATTTTAAAATGGACTGGGGAATGTAGCTCATTGGTTGAGTGCCCCTGGATTCAATCCCTGGTACCAAAAAAAAAAAAAAAAAAAAAAAAAGAACAGGCAAATCAGCTCTTCAACCCAGGTGGACACCATCATTATAATTCAGCATGAAAGTTAAAGAGATGAATAGAATTACAATTGGAGAAAAGGTGCTACTCAAATAATAAAATCTATAGAATATACTTTTTCACTTCCCTGCAATGCTAGCTAATGAGACCATACTAAAAAAAGGGGGGGGGGAGGCTTTAAAATGAGGCTTATCAATGGTTCATTCAACTTAAGAAACAAAAGAAAAATAAATCTTTTTAATCCTATAAAATGAAAGAAATAGGAAAGTATGCCCCGAAGTACATATAAATCACATTTTTTCTCCTACCTTTTACCTATTTGTAAGTTAAGTAAAGAGAGTATGGTTTTACTCAAGTGATCTATCTGAAAATGAAATACTTAGATCTTTGTCTTGTTAAGTAATGACTGATGGGACAATGATATGACACTGTGTTAGGTGTGCCTCCTAAATTATTCCTTGGTCTAATTTCATTCTGCCAGTATATCACTTAGACTAGTCTTGGTATTATAGGATCTTGAAATCGATAGTGAAATTGGGAACATCTTCAAAAACATATACATAATCAGAGGCTGACATTGATCATAGTCCACCTTCCTCCTTGTGCTTTCTCATAATGACTCAAGTCCCCTGACTTCACCACAACAATCAGTTATGAAGCTAAAGAAAAGCATTCCTGCCCTACAAACACCAATTTTAGCTGCATTAGAGCATAGATCAAAGTAGGCTGTCATTAAATGCTCTAAAAGACAGGGTAACAACTTTTCATGGGTCTAATAGCTTTTGTGACCTGCCTGAATCTGGTGTATTTACAACCCATGGATGCTGCCTCTGTCAGGAAATCAGAATGGAGTAAGTATGTGAAATAATTGGGCACCAGTTTATTAAAAATTATCTCTGAAGAAATATTTTCTTATATGGGTCTTAAGATGATAAAAGACAAGGAGATACAAACAAGAGAATGAAGGATCCTAATAGAGGTGACTCTTTGGAGGGCGGTAGTCCACAGCAAACAAAAGAGGAAAAAACCAAAAAGCCCCTGTCATGCTGGCTCCAGAAAACCTCGGGAAGAAAGGCGGAAGGCAGAATGAGTGCTACTGTGTGTCAATATTTCATTTATTTTTAAACAATTAATTTTTAAACAAAAATTTTCTCCAAATTTCTACTAAAACATAATTGTGCTGGCCAGACCCTGCATAAAGTAGTTGGCTCCAACCTGAATACCAAACCTTTAAAGAGAAACACAGACAGACTAGTGGGAACCCAAAAGTATATGAAAACAAGGATCCCACAAATGACTTCATAGGTTCATGGAAAGATGTGAAGGAAATATGAAATAATTGACAAGTTGGGTGGGGAAAGGCTGCCCATTCTACAGCAAGCTAGTGGAGTCACCTAGCAAATGATCTCATTGGAACCCACATATAAAATTATGAGGCCAACCTAGGTTTTAAATTCATTTAATTTTATAATTTCAACATAGACTGCAGACAAGGAAATTTTGTTGCTTCTAATAAACACTTATATTTTGTGAACTTAATTGTTCAATATTACTGATGGAAGAATATCAAGGTCAAAATTATCATAAATAAGGGATGAGGAGATAGCTCAGGGGTAGAGGTCTTCTACCCAGCATGCATGAGGCCTAAGGTTTGATCCTCACTATCACAAAACACACACACACACACACACACACACACACGTGTATACTCTCTATATACTTTCCTACAGATTCTCTTCACCATTTCTCACTTAATTGAGTATCATGGGATTTCATAACTTTGTTGTAACATCTGAATTTGATTCATGCCCTTTGTGACAACTCATCAACTACCGTTGTGCATGTCCAGCTTTGTGTCTAGTTTTGGGTTTCTACCTGTGCTGGATGATCCCCCCTTTGGTTATACTCAATATTATTATTTGGTATAGGTCTCAGGGAAGCACTTTAAAGTTGCTAGGCTCCATACAACTTTTCAATAATACTGGTGATAATGATATAGGTGAAGTTGCCCACTCTCCTAGAAGGCACCTTCCTAAGAGTTTTGTATGCCTTATTTCACTGAATCTTCCCAGGAACACCATGAGGAATATGTTATTATTCTATTCATTATATAAATAAGGAAACTTTGGGTGAGACTGCTAAGTACCTTGCCCAAGATAACCATAGCCAGTGTGGACACAGACTTTGATCTGGCTACCTTCTGTAAAATACCTACCCTCAACCACCATTCTCTACTAAAGCAATTCTCAAAGTGTGTTCCCTGGACCAGCAACTATAAATCATCACCTTGGATCTTAAAAATGCCAAATCTTCCAGGTACTGAATCAGAAACTCTCAGGTCAGAGCCCAGCAATCTGTGTTTTAATAAGTCCCCAAGTAATTCTAAAGCTTGAGAACTACTACCCTACTAAATGGAAAGACCAATTTCTACTCACTTAACCATACTTATTTTATAATTTGAACTAAACATTTGAAGTAGCCCCTTAATCTTTTTTTATAGGAGAAGAAAGAAATTCCAGATGTGGAAGAATCAGGCTTCCTTTTCTCTCCGGAAACAGAAAGGGTGATTTCCTGACAACTCTGGTGAGTGGATTAGAGAACTTCTGCCTTAAAATATGGACAGGAGGGAAATAAGAAGGAAAAAGTACTTTCACAATATAGTTAAGCCGTTGTGGTTAGACATGAAAAGTGAATAGACCTAGAAGGTCTTGAAATTCCCTTAGAGACTACAGAATAAATAACATGAATCATCTGCTTCGTCAAAACAGCTAAAATGAAAAACAAACAAACAAAAAGCAACCTTCCCACAGGCATACTTTTTTTTAAAAAAAAAAGAACATAAATATATACACTTTTGTCTTCCAGATGCATTAGTGGAAAAGTGTTTCCAAGGTGCCATAATCAATGGCAGTTACCATCAGCTTTCTGTGGTGTAAAAAAAAAAAAAAAAGTCATTTTAGCATTATAACTCACGCTGCCTAGAATACGCCCTTGGTCTTTCTTAGGCTTATCTCTACTCAGTAGCACAGTGCGTGCAACTCGGCAAATCAGTCCATAATCTCTTTAGCATCTTCCTGCACGTGCAATTTTAAAGTTCAGGCATTGGCACAGAAATCATCCTTACTTCAAGGACTCTAGAGACTCTTTCACATTCTTGCATCTGGCTAGATACTAACTTTTCATAAGCCAGTGGGAATACATATGAGTATTATGTTAAATCTCATATAAAACAGAGTGGTTTCTTTACAGGTGCAGATTTACCTGAGAAAGGTAAAAATGGCTTCCAGTCAGATGAAAATGATGTAAAACAGAAACTACCCTACCTCACATGAACTTGAACCTAGTGGAGATGGCACACACTTAACCACCCAAAGGTATAATGAGTGAATCTCACCTGGAAACTGTGGCTAAGTAGAAAGGAAAAGTACAGGGCCCACTGTATTTTCCAAAGGTGCTCGTGGGTATCTAGGGTCATAGTGTTTTACTGTATCTGCTGCGTTGTCCCTCCTTCTAGAAGGGGCTATAGAAAGGCAGTGAGATGACATTCTGAAAGATGGTGGAAATAAGGGCTTCACCAATCCTTTAACAAAGAAATGTATATGAAGCCTCTACAAAGCTACCAGCACTCAGGAATGGACAGGCTAGAGAGATGAGCACAGGCCATCGTAACTCATAACAGGTCTAAGGAGTTATCTATACAGCATTGCCAGTGAAAGGCTTATTTTCATTCCATGTCCTATTACTTTAAAGAAAAAACTAAAGAAGATTTTTTTAATTTTTAAAATAATAGACCCTGGACATTGTAAGAATTCACTTTGCAAAAGGAAGGACTAACACATACTAAAGAGAATTCAGTGCTATCTTTCAACCGAAGATTCACTCCTTCCTTTCTTTATCTATTCATTCATTTACTTAGTAATAACAGAGCAAAAACATGCTGAGCAGTATCTAGAATATGCCATCCAGCTCCACACATCCTTTCCTAAACCCTGCCCCAAACAGAGCAAAACAAAAACAAGAGGAAATGGACTCCAAGCAAAAGCAGAGTCTGGTTTTGCTGACATGAGTGATAACACCACATGATTAACTTATTCCAACATGCTTCCAAGGAAGGCTGAACGAGCAATAATGAGTAATGCTAAGTCTGCAGTCAGGTCAAGTGCCTACCTGCCTGAGAGAGGAGGTTGAGGCCTGGAGGCCTCCCCCACCTGTGGTGTTAATTGCACTCATGGTATGAGTTGATTACAAATTGACCTCTGCCAAATGTCTTCTCAAACCAATGTAAAAATGCTACTAAAATTCTACTTAATAACAGACAAATATCATTTGTAAAAATAAGAAATGAACACTATCTAGTACTACGTATACTGTACGAGGAATTTTGTGGACATTAACACATTAAATCTTACAATCTGGTGGAACTCATTCACAACTTCATGAATGTAAGAGTGAAGCAAAAGGTTGTAGGTTTGATGGAAATCTCAGCTGTTTAATTCTGTTTAGTCAGAGCATATATTGCGAACCTTACTAAACATGAATAGTGTTTAAAGGTGAAAGCGCAACTTACCCTTGCCATATCCACCAAGAAGTTCTCAAATAATTTCCAAATGTGGTTACTTGTGTAGATTTCTTTCATTTCCACTTCAGTGTCAACATAACAGTGGTTAACAAAGTTCACATAAGCAATTTTAACCTGTGTAAATTTCAAATTCAAAAGAAAGTTAATTTCTTTAGTGATCACTTTCAAATATCAATTACAAAAGGTTCAAATGTGTTAGTTCCTGTAGTATATTACCGCATGTTTATCTACCGAGAATGCATTCCCATTTCCTTTCTTTTTCCAGGACAATCCACTCCAATCCAGGGGTGAACATATGATCTAGTACTGAGGTCTGTAGGCCCAGGGACTGATATGTGAACGAGCATTTCATGCAAACCAAGCTCCTCATCCTATCACAGAGACTCTAGGGGTCAGGGGTGCTCCCTTGCGCTCGCTCGCTCTCTCTCTCTCTCTCTCTCTCTCCTCTTCTCCCTCCCTCTTTCCCTGCCCCTTCTCCCTCCCTCTTTCCCTGCCCCTTCTCCCTTCTCTCTCCCCTGACCCCTGCCCTCACCTGCTACTAAAGTGAAACATGATAAATCTGAACTTCAAGAAACTATCTGCTAGGTGTGTGGAGAGAAAAACTATACCCAGAAGAAGTGAATGAGGCAAAGACACAAAGGAACAAGGGACAACAGAAAGAATTCTGAACCTCTGCATCCACTTGAACAATAGTCCTTCAAATTTCCAAGTACAAGAGCCAGTAAAATCCCCTTAAATTCCCTTTCTTGTTTAAACTACTTTGTTAGGTCTTTGTCACTTGCAACCAGAAGTCCTAATATAATGCTTAAATATGTTGACAAAATAATACTTCATTGACATTAAAAAAAAAGAAACTTATGCTACTGATCCAGAGGAAAAAACAAACTCATAGTTAACAAAAAAGAAGTATTATTTGGGAATGGAGTACATTCCTCAGAATCAGCAAAATTCTTCATGAAGGATTAGGATGAGTCTCATCAATATATACCATGTGGAAAGCACACAGGGCAGTCATTTTTTTATTTTATTTTCTTTGTTTCTCTCATTATAAAAATCTAATGAATTTCTATAAATCTATAAGAAAAATGTATATACACAAAAAAATTAATTAAACTATTTCGGGGATCCATGGAGTTAGAGTTAGAACCACAGGAACATAGGGCCAGCTTGCATACCTTGGTGATTTTCTCTGCTTGACTGGGGTCTAACACAAGCCATCCAAAGTAGGTGTGTGTGTCAAGGATGGTCATAGATAGGGAAATATTTGAGCCAGTCAGCATGCCATCACAGGCCACAGAAGCAAATATTTATGCCGTATTTACTGTGTGCCAAACACCTTAGGCATTTTGTATGTGCTATCTTATTTAATTCAATTCTCCAACAATCCTATCAGACATGTATTATAATTATTTCATCTTAAAACTGTGGAAACTGAAAATTGAAAAATTAAGTAATATGTTGGAGTCAGTGATATCACTAGGCAGTAAATGATCCAGGACTTTGACTCATCCTTTGATTCATTTGTTCATTCATTCAAAACATATGTACTGAGTATTGTTCCATCTCAGACAATGTAATGATGAACAGAAACAGCCCTAACTGTTACTCTCCTTGAGTTTATAATCTTGGAAAAGAGTATGAGGGCTAAATATATTTACTAATGAATAAAATTCAAATGACAAATTTCACATTATAGACTCATAGACTCTCTGCTACAAGAGACCAGGACACTTGTTCCTGAAGATGTAAGGCCCAGATCAGATTCTAAAGGGTGAAGGGGAATTATTTACACAAACCTAGAAGTAAGGGTGGTGTTTTCAGGGGAGCTGCATATGGGAAGAGGCATGGCCAAAACCATGACCACAAATAAGGACAGAACCCGTAGATTTCCTCACTATACTATATTCTCTCTGCCATCTTATTTCAAACAAATCAAGGCATGAAATACCCTAGGACTGAGGTGTCAACAATCCTACAGAATTTCCAAAAATTTTCTTTAAAGTCCATCACTACAGAAGACTATTTAGAAATGGGAAAGTTAACTCCCCTGACACATTTTTAAGTTACTGTAATTTAAAATGTTTGGTTTCATATAATTTTCAGTATATCATACATTTGAAAAATTTTCAATAATATACCATAATAGTACAAAAGAAAGGAATTATTAAAATGTACTTTCCTGGAAGCCTCATTAATAGAACCCTGATAGCAGACAATCAGCTTCTGTTACTTTTTTCCCCCCATATCATCAAAACCAAACTGAGGGGCTGGGGTTGTGGCTCAGTGGTAGAGTTCTTGCCTAGCATGCATGATGCACTGGATTCCATCCCCAGCACCACACAAAAATAAAAACAAATAAAATAAAGATATTGTATCCACCTACAACTAAAAATAAAAAATAAAAAAATAAATCAAACTGAGAGGGTAAAGAAGGATGTATGAACAAAGCAAACTGTGTATGGTATTTTTCAAGAACGCATCTATTATAAAGCAAAGTAAACTTACAGAGTCCCGTGTGCGATCTTGCAGCACTAGCCTAGCCTCTCCAATCAATGATTATAAATCATTTATGAAGTGCCTGTTTATGCTCAAAAATATACTACAGGCTACAAGTAAAGTTTTCATTTGATCTGATTACCATGTTTAAAATTTAAGAGACATTTTTAGTAGCTTCCAGTAAACTAACAGGAGCCATACTTTAAAAAAGTTTTACTCTGCTTCCAAGTTTCTTATATAACTAAAATATATATATCTTTTCATGCTCTTTTAAATTTCTCAAATTATATAGCTAACTAAAATTTCTCAATTAAATATGTGTGATCTCATAAATGTTAGTATGGGAGACTTCCAGCACTTAGATGTACTTCAAAACTTTATGATGGTTCTACAGCTACTGAGCTTCTGCCAGGCTTACCTCTGGGATGCAGTCATCGTGGGTCACCACCCTCACTATGTCGTCCAAGGGCAAAAGGGAATTACACTTGATTTCAGTATAGACATTCTTCCCCTCTGTGCATGCTGCCAGCAACTCCACAAGGGTGATGTGGTAGGCTAAGGGGCCACTGTCATCCCCTCGGTCTCTCTCTGAACACATCATGTGGAGAAGGATTGGAAATGATGCTCTATCATTGTAAAAGATCAGCACATCTTCACCCCCATTTATCAACTGAAATGATAATAAGAGAATCTCCATTGCTATCCAAATTTTCATTCTTGTGTTTTATTTTCAAAGGCTTGATCTATCTAAAAACAGTTGTATCTCTTTATAAAAAGCATAGATAACACCGTGAAGGAATCATTATGCCAAGGAAGAATGGTGAAAAGATTATAATCATGTGCCAAGTTGTGAAAGCTACAAAATGAGGCAGAGAGATATAGGTGCGGCAGAGGTGGCAAGAATTAGACAACATGGACAGTAGCAAGGTGGTTATCAGTGAGTTAGACACTGAAATCAAACCTATAAAATAATAAATTTATTTCCCTCCATATTAGAGGACTCTACTGCCAAAGCACTGGATATCACTTATGTCTAATTTTTACTAAACAGGATGATATACCCCAAACCACTTCAATAGTGACTAAATAAGTAAGCAAGTACATTGAGCCAAGTATAAATCTACAAAAGTCTGGAAAACTCCATGTTTATTGGGAAAGCATCATAAGAAAACAGAGGTAAAAGCAGAAGAGGGAGAAATAAGGAGAAGACTACTAAAAAATGAGACACAAAGAAATGAATAGTAAGGGCTTTTAGGACATGAATTTTCCTTCAGATTTTATTGTATAATTTTAGTGGAAAATTCCAGCAAGTAGCAATTTTACTGCTGAAACATCATAAAATATTATTGTTTATCTCTTACGAGGACCAATTTTCTGAACACAATATGAGTATTTTAGTGGGGAACAATAGATATACAATTTTTAATCTTTTTATCATATTTAAATTGATAAGCCAAAGAATTGAGCAGTTTTGTTGGAAGAAAAATGTATACATATCACAAATATATTAAATATTAACATAATATTAAAAATACTTCCTCACACATGGAAACACATCATTTGATAAATGCCATAGGGATGGCTTAAATATTTGCTACTCTCTCATTCTAATTCTTTCTTTGGTGATCAGAATCCAAATCAAATTACTTCCCACACATTTCTATGCATTAAAGAAGAACTAATGTGAATGTAAATATAATTTGTAAAAAGGTAAATTTTACAAGTGTAAAACATTCCTTACAATGTTTAATAACAATAATTGACATTTAAAATTTTTAAGCTTTTGCTGAATTAATTTTAAGATTTCTAAATGGCAGGAGGGACTCATATTGAATCAATACAAGAATATCTCCCATCCCTAACTTGAAAGAATATTATTGCAAAACTGTCCCCAAACCAACAAAGTCTATAATACAGTGTAACAGTTTGGTAGCCATGACTTGAAACTGCCTTAATCCAGACAGGCCACAAGAGAACCATTTAGTCACAGAGTGGTGATTTATCCAGATGGGCTCTTTGGGCTGCCAATTCCCCAAAGTCTCACCCTTGGTTCCTAGTGAGTAACTCACTCTTTATGTAAATCTCACTCGATACCAAACATCAAGATAAAAAGGGCAAAATAAACTAAGTACTTCAGCCATTCATTCTTCATAGATTCTTGTGTTACTCTAAGTAGCAAGTTCCCACCTGCTATAATAAAGCACCAACAAGTAGCTTTTAAATCGACTGGTTCCTTTTGAAGCCTTTGCAAAATATGGCAGAGAACACCCATTCTACATTTCAGAAACAGAACAATAAAAGTACTAAACAAACAGAGTTCTATCTCTTTGTTGTATTATTAAAAACTTTAAAATACTAAATTTTTTACTTTAATTTCAAATAAGCTTGTGAAATGGTAAGACTTTAGTCATTATTTAACATACCCAAATTCATTATGAATCAAACGAAAATACTCTTAGAAAATCATAAATTTAAGTTGTAATGTGTTGCTTCATTGGACTAAAGCAAAATATATTTGTGCTTAAGGAGTCATGATGAAATAATTTTCCAAAATGGTTGCTTGACTTTTTTCTTCTGCTAAATTAACAGAAAATACACATTCGAGCATATTGTTTAGGTCAAACTGATAAAATACAAACTAAGAACACACCTCTGTCATTACCATATCCTGGCATTTCTTCACGTATTTACCATCTGCTTTCACAATTGTTTGCAAAAACCTCAGGTACTCCACGTGGCGGCCATGTGTCTCAATGCAGTGCACAAAATGCTGCACAACCCTCTCGCTGATTTCATTACACAGATGGTAATTGTTCATGAAGATGTGCCGCATGGTTTCTGCTTCAAGGAGCTAAACAGGGAACATGCTTTGTAATAATGACAAGATCAATTTTGTATTCTACAAAATTAGACTAATTTTCCTGCTTGTGATCAGCTTTACATTTTATATGAAGCCCAAGTGAATTTTCTGTGCAAGTCTTTTACAAAACGCAATGAGATCATTAACCATTAAAAGAAATTCAGCTCACAAAGGAACTCAGTTGAAGACAGAAGCTTATTATCATGAAGTACAACATGTCAGCAATAGTGTTCTTGACATTAATTTAATTATATATTATTCAAAGTCAGCTCTTTCTTAAGATCTGCTTAAACATGTTTAAAAGGCGAGAGTTAACTCTATCTTCAAGTTACCCATATTTTATCTTACGGTATTATTAAGTTAGTTCTTTGTTATACCTTATCATTGTTTTAACATTAAACTGTATATGAAAAAATGAAATTGTCATTTGCATATAAAATTTTTGCAATTTCTAAATTTACTTTAAAAGAGTCCTTAATAGAAATAAAAAGATGATCAATTTTAAGGAGAGAATACCTACAAGGAAGAAATGAGATGACAAGGATTAATAAAATTCTGTTAATTAGTGCTACTAAGATTAATCTGATGCATACTTTACTATAAATATTAGAAATCACTAAAATACTTACACCAGGAGTTAAAAACAAATTCAGATGTTTATGAAGAAGAATTTGATTCTGTGGATTTCCTCTGCAGAAATTCTGCAGGAAGGTATGGGCTAGATTCATTACTTCATTCATCTTTTCATCATTCTGTAAGTTAAAAGAGTAGCACATGATACAGAGAAACAAACCTGAGTGCAAATACTATCAAAAAAATATTCCTTCAGAAGATTATCTTTCTATGAGTTATAACACAAATTGCACAAAATGTGTTAGTTTACTAACTCTATATTTGTAATACATTGGCAACCTCTTTAATATCTATAGAGTAGATTTAACAATATTAGGACTCCTTTGTCCAGTATGTACACAAAATGTAAAATGCAGCAAGGTTTAAATGAAATGCATATAACATCAAAGGCAATGGGAAAGTTGAAATTTTCTAGCATACTCTCACAAAACACCTTTTGCAACTTCTTTCCTCCCCAATCTCTCAACCCAATGAAAAAGTATAGATAGTAAACTGTTCAGAGATGGTTTAACGATTCCAAACATGAGATTTCCTACCAGTTTTTATGAGATATTTACAAAAATTTTATTTTACTACTTCTGCTTCTAAATATATCAAGCACTTCTAAATATCTAGAAGGACTAAATATTTCCTATAAGAACTTATTCACTATGCACACAGCACTGGTAAATAAAATTGCACTTGTAGGAATGGTTATAATCTGACACATCTTCTAATATGACCGTTTATCCTTGAACCTTTCCCTCCCCAGTTCCTTCTCTCTACTTTCAGTCTAGGGAACAAGCACAGGCATATGTAATGCTTAGAGATTGTCAAACAAATTCATATTCAAAAGTCATTTAGGAGGACAGAATTTCCTATGAATTTCAACACAAAGTAGACAAAATGTGCTAATTATACTAACCACTCTGTCATACACCAGAAACCTCTTTCATATGTAGAAATGAGATGTTGCAAAATTGGGACTTCTTTGTCCATTATATATAATATATACACAGCAAAACATTTAAGTCCTTGTTGGAAACATCTAGTCTTTCAAGATGTCTACCCATACCCAACATATGGTAAAATTAGAGGGTAAAGTAATGCCCTTTAAGTATTTTTGTTACTAATTAAGAATGGTTGCCATTTTGGTGAATGGAAATATTAAATTTGACATCATGGAGAATGTGCTGACTGTTCACTTGGTGGTGGGTGGGAGAAGGAGAAAGTATGCAGAGAGAAGGGTTCTGTGCCCCTTAGATTAGTTCTGATTGTCTAATCATTGTTTTATGTGCAGTATATCATAAAAAGTAGAGCTAGTAAATTAGCTAACTCATACATATCTTAGTGTCATAATTGATAGAAAAGATGCATCTTGGACATGGAATTGTTTTATCTCTCCAAAGTGTGTATCAGAACTTGTTCATTGGGCTGGAGAAGAGGGGAAGAAGGAAGTACACAGGGGAAAGTGGAACAAGTGCTCAAGGATTTATATTTTGATGTGAGCCACTGGTGTGTGTGCATCTTCTGACTGTACTGCTGGAATATTTTAATTCACAGGGAACATGCTTTCTTGCTAATATTTTAGTAGTAGAAATCTGATAATGAATCTCCTAGAAACATTATTGCAGTGTACCCTGCTGCTTTATGTCTCATTTTAAATTGAGTATTAAGTATTTTAAATTTGCATATAAATTTTTAATTGTAACTCTGCCAATTCATCTATCTAGAATCCTGATGCCATTTTTGTCTTTGGTGAAATTTTTGTTCCCAAGAAAGTCAGTATTATAATTTTTTCCTAACAAATTGAGTTGGTGTAATATATGCTTGGTTTAAAAAAATACTCCTGTAGCCTTGGGATTTTTGAATTGGTGAATATTCATGATGTGGAAAACCACAGTTGAGGTCTATGATCTCAACCACACAAAACAGGATGCTGCGTATGTACAGGCAGGGCCCAGGACAGTCCTGGCTAAACTGCTTGTGACTGGATGACGTTCTTCTTTACTTACGTTTTTATGTTTCCTGGAAAGTACATATTAACTTTTGAAAAATAAAAGTTATTTTTTAAAAAATGTGTTCCTTTGTCTGGGGGACATTTTTTTTTCTCTCTGCCTGTTTCATGGTCGCTCTTCTCTGTGCCTTTATGTTTTTACACCTCCCATAGTTGCCCCTGCCACTTCCCTGACTTCTAGATATTCCTTGTCTTCTCTTTATTTGTCCTCATATCTGTTGGGTTCTAGTCCTTAGACCCTCCCTTTGTTTCCCAGCCCGTCCTTGTTTTGCCCCAGTCTTTCTGAATATTATCTGCCTTTCCCCATCTCTGAACACCCACTTCTCCCCACCCGGCCCACATCTCCTCTGCCATCCCTCCTTGTGCTCTCTTTGTGTAATATGACATGAATTGCATTCTGCCATCATGTATAACAAACTAGAAAAAATAAATAATTTAATTTTTAAAAAGTGGTCTTTTGACATTATTGAAATCATCTAATAACTTCATATATAATGCATTGCCCATTTGTCATGTGGCCATTATTAGAGATTCAGAATGAATTTGTGTTTTGAGTCGTAGCTGATATTAATTGTGTTTAATGTCTTCCTTTTTCCTAATCTAAGGGTCTATATGCCATCTATAACTAAGCAAGCAGCCTAAAGTCCTTAATAGGCCCATTTCCTCATATTTAAAACAGGGAAGAATCAATTAGACTAACAAGACTAAAAATAACCCCATTTCTAAATAAAAGTGGGAAAATTTAACTTCAAAATCTTCTAACACTTTCTTTCAACTTGTGTAACCCAGGAATAGTTAGAAGACAATGAAGACACTTCAGTCACAGAAATGCCCAATTCCCACTGAAAAGCCAGCAGGGCAGAAGGGCATCCCTGGGGCCAGTGCTACAGCAGCTCCTGCTTCCTGTAACTCTCTTCTCACTTCTTTTCTATTTTTATTATTATTTCTAAACAATCTAGTTATTAAAACTTAATAAACCCATAGAAACAAAGGAGTAAAAAATGTTCAATTCTTCAGTTATATGATTAGAAAGAAATTAATCATGTGTCCAATGTCCATGTTATAATATCAGATAAAATAATCCAGAGAATAAATACTGAGGATTTAGTATCTTTTGTTGGCTTCCAAGAATTCTTCAATGGCATTCTTTACCACAGGCTGGATTATGCCACCTTAGGAATGGTAGACTTGTAAATTTATATATTAGAAAGTAATTAAAGGGGAAAGGCAGACAACCCAGTAGAAGATCAAGTGAGGAGGGCATCCTAACAGAGAAAGGCCTGGCCTGGCCTGGTGGCACCAAAGGAGATGAAAAGATCTCCTACTGGGTGATATGAGAGACCAGTGTGGCCGATGAAAGGGGTGGGCGTTCATATGGAGGCGTGGCAGCAGTGCGGTGGAAGACGTTTTTTTACTGGGTACCTATAAATAAGTAACTGTCTTAAGAAGACAATGGGAGAGGACAGGGTTCTAACTGTTAGAGAATGGATACATAGCACTGAAAAAGAGAAACTAACATGAACTCTGGTTTTGAAATTAGAGTTATGATTATGAAAACATGGTTTTCAATAATGTATAAACAGATAAGAAAACAAATGTCAATGTAACTTGGATATGTTATGTGTGCATGAATGTATGTATGTGCATGTACACACACACACACACACACACATATGCATATCTCTGACTTTGTCTGTTCAGAGGACATGGAAAATGCAACATTCCAATAGCAACGAGCACACTCATTTTCCAAAACTTTGCTTCTAAAGATCACTCTCTATCAAATAGAACCAGGGCTTCTTGAAGAAATGGCTGATTCAAAGTTGAAGTAGAATGAACCTGGAACGTTTTACTGTGCCAGATCACGATGATGGGGACATGTTAGAGGACACAGAATCTAGCTTGAACGGGCTTCACTGGCCAGTTCTGGGGAAAACTGTGAGTCAAAATAATGATAGAACCCTATTATAACCTATTGAGTAAAATGAACTTCTGCATGTCCACACTGATACAAGTAAATGAAAGGATGTACTCAAAGTTAGATGAAGAATGGGATATTTACTTAGTTTCACAGAATCACTCCACAAAATACTTAATAATCACAAAGGGAAAGTGAGTACTTCACAGTGGAGAATCCAAGCAGTCACCACCTTAATCAAGTGATCCAAGCGGACATCATGAATAATGGGGCAATTAAAATCATGCGTTGCCTACTAGCAAGCAATGAGAAGAACTGAGCATCCTTCTGCTATGTTCCTATCAAAGATGCTTTACTGAGTCTAATCCCATGAGGACATAACAGCTGACCCAAATTAGAAGCCATTCTTCAAGATAAGTGGCTATCTTTAAAAGTATCAATGACATGAGAGTTCCAGCACCAGAAAATTTAAATACATAACAACCCCAAACTGCATGTTTCTAAAGTGGATCCTTGTGTCAATTAGGACACTCCCGGGACAAAGAGAAATTTGAATGGTGTGTGGGATTAGGTGACAGCAAAATGTCATATCCCTCCTGATTTGGAAGGCTGTAGTGTGGTCATGTAGAACCATGTCTTTGCGTGAAATACACACTAACTGGCTCCAAGATGACGGTGATCAGGTAGGGGACTCAATCTCAAATAGTAAAGAGAAGAAAAGCTCTCTTTCACTTTTTTATACACTTAAAATTGTATCAAAATACAAAGTTAAAGAAAAAGGTATTTAAGGACAAACCTTTTCATAGGGTATCTGCAGAAGATCTAACACCACAGAATGAGCCCCCATATTTTTCAGTAATCGTTGATGTTGATTCCGACACTTTTTATTCTGTATGCAGAGTTTACTTAACCTGATCAAAATCTTTAAAAAGAAGTAAACATTATAAACAACAATATTAAATAAATATAATATATAAGCAACAATTATTTATGATAATTATTTAATATCATGCAAATATAATCCTATATAAAGATATTGTAAATTTGCTGACCTCCTTTACAATCCTGTAGTTATTGCTCTTATTGCTGTCAATCTGGGGTTTCTTTGTTCCATCTTGCACTGGACTTAAAATATTTGATTCCTAAAATAAACAAAAACATGTATTTTATGCCATATGTAGCTTGATAATAAACTTATGTTGTAATAAATATACTTTGTGATTATTTTTAATGAATTTATTTTTCAACCTAAATTTTTTCTTTTGTATTTTCTTTATTGAATAAAAAGCTCCTTGGCTTGAGTAAGCCATGTAAATTACCACTGCCTAATAAGAACCCAATTATAAGATAAATGATATTACTAATAATTAATGAACTGTATTTAAAAATAAAAGTTATTATATAATGCTAGTGTATATATGTACCTATTTGTGTGTATACATGTGTATATTTCAAAATATCATGGTTTCATGTTGTCTTTAGAAAAAGAACAGTAAAAATTCAGAGCATAAAAAAGATATAATTTTGTCATCATGGATAACCCATAACGAAATAAAGAGTGAAGGAGCATATCATAACAGCTGAACACATCTCAGGAAGGGAAGAAAGAACAACTTAACCCAAGGATTCTCTGCCAGGTTACCATGACATCCTTAAGAGTCACGACTTGGGGCCACCCAAGCATGTACACAGCCATGAAAATGAATTCAGGAAAATAAAACTTTAATTATAAATAGTCTTTCAAATTACCAACATTACTAAAGCTTAATGCCTGAAACACCAAAAACACTTACTTATAATAATTATTAATCTGAAGCATTATAAAAAACAAATATAAGGAATGCAAATATTTTAAATATTAACTATTGTAATAACCATATAGAAGTGATTATAAATAATTCCATACTGAACATTTTAAATTAAAACAGTACATATCTGGTACTAGACTATGGTGAATGGATCAAAAAATAAATAAAAGATATGACCCTTCTTACAACAAAATTAAAGCCTACCTAAGAAAATAGGGAGAAGTAAGAAAATAAAAAATTGATTGAAGTTTGTCTAGATGAACCCAATTACTATGTTTAACTAGAAAGCTCTAGTAAAAAAAGGGTAGATTTGAATTGAGCAGATTTCACTACTCAGAGAAAGAGAGAGAATGGCTACAATTTAGACACCTTTATGAAAGAAGTCAAGTTTAAGCCAAGGTTTTCAAAGGTAGAAACCAGTTAAGCACAGGGGATGCCTGGGCAGTAGGGGGACAACTTGGTCAGAGCAGAAAGTCATCTTAGCCAAAGGGACTGCAGTGAGAAAAGGCACATGTGCTGAGCAGAAAACAGCAAGAACTGATGGAACAGGTTGCACAAGACTGAGCCATTACCTCTCTCATTTACACTAAGTTCAAAATTACACTTGGGATGAACATCAGGTTCAACTTGGATTAAAAACACCCTAAACTCCTGACTATTGAAGGCATGGGACTCTCACAGTTACAGAGGACCCCAGTCCAAGCTCAGAAAAAATTAAGAAAAATAACATGAGGCCAACCAATATAATTTCATTTGTCCTGGGCTATTTTTCCTACTGTGCTCCAGGATGAATCATAAAAGTAATACAAACCAAGGGGAAAAAAATACTTTGCTTGCTGGTCCAACAATTCTGATGAAAAGCTTCAAGCCCCTGTAATCCCAGCGGCTGGGGAAGATGAGGCAGGAGCACCTCAAGTTCAAAGCCAGCCTCAGCAATGATGACGCACTAAGCAACTCAGTGAGACCCTGTCTCTAATAAAATACAAAATAGGGCTGGGGATATGGCTCAGTGGTGGGTTTCCCTGAGTTCAATCCCTGGTACAAAAAAAAAAAAAACAAAAAACACCTTATAGCCTCAGAGTGACTTGGTAAGGGTTTAGCCAGCACCACTCATTGTCAGCTTTGCATTCTTCTTTCACTTTGCTTCTTGCAAATATTGTGCCAAGCCTCCCAATCTGAATTCCACTTTAGCAGGTAACCTCCTATTTCATTTATTAAGCAGAAGGAAATTTCCATAAATTACTTTTCCCTTTTTCAACCCAAAATTTCCACTATCACAAACTGACCTATCTCCTTTTCCTTAGAGAACAAAACTTTTGATGTATGGATTTTGAAAATTCCCTGCCTCCTCTTTTCTGCTTCAGTCTTATTTCTTATATACAACTAGTTTCTACCCTCTACTCTTTCTCATCTCTTTAAAATATGGTCAATTGGAGGCTACTCAAACACATTCAGTGATACTGCCCACCCTGGAAAGCAGTCTTGCCTCTCAGATTATTGATTCTACTATTATCTCAAAAGAATAATCTAGGCCACATTGATTGCTTTACATGCTAATGATTCAAAATTGCCAAAACTTTCTCCAGCATTTGAGACTGTGGTTCATTCCCATTTTTTGTTAAGCCCCATTCTCTGTTTTATTGTGGTGTGATACTCTTCCCTATTACCTTCTACCTTGTGACCAATCGTCTCTTTTTCATTCAACAGAACTGCAACTGCAAAAGGTAAAAAAGCAAATGGTGAAAGCATTCAAAAGCTTACTAAGGCTGATTTCAGGGCTGTTTCCCCTAGTTATCCTAATAAATGCAAGGAGGGACACGAAACAGTGAAACCTCCACTCCAGGTAAAGGGGAAAACTGAGACATTGTCTGCCAGACTCTAAACATTAAATGAATCCTAAAAAGTCATAGAAGAAAATATTAACCTGTCTTTGTAAGCAAAGCTAGCATAGAAGAGGCAAGGCAGGTCAAGTGGCTAAGATAGATGGAAACTCTCTAGATGGAAAGAGACTGTAGGTCAGAGAATGAGACACTTAGGGTTTCTACTTCATACCAAAAGGAATGTATTGATGAGAGGTAGAAATTGAAAAGGGTAGAAATATAATTAAATTTCCTTTTTCTGATCTCAAAGGTAGAGGTTGAATTTTTATAAGGCTGTTTGATGTTTTTCTTTTTCTGGAAGAAATATTAAGGAAAATCAAATCTATACCACAAATCAAGATTAAGATATTACCAAGTCTAAGGACTGACAAAGCTCCAAAGATAGACTTTTAAAGAAGGCAGTTGAAAATGCAGGCAAAGTTTTGGCCAATACATTGAAGCCCATTTTTCAAACAATGACCTGAATAAAAAGCAACAGACTTGTTTTAAGAAAAGTGATCTCGGGCAAAATGTACTACGGTACGAGAAGTTATGCTCTTTAGTTCAACCCAGGGGAAGACTCAGACAATGCTAAGCTGTGTTAACTATGGGAATCATGAAGAATAATGATTTTAATTTAAAATTGCCAGCAGTCAACCCAAGGAGACAACACTGGAGAATTCAATAAACAATCCCTTTTAATTTCAGAAAATAATGCAACATAATTAAGTGGAACAAAAGTATTAACCCAAAGAACATCTGGATGATTCCAAGTGAGTCATCAGGGGAATCTAAGAAATATGTAAACAATGTACCTACAGTTAGGTTTTTATTTTTTTATTTTGCAAATGCTCTAAACAAGCATGTTTTAAGAATTTTCCTCCAAAAAGGGCAGAAATCAACTGTATTTTTTATATCCTACACAGCCTTAGCCCTATTGAAGTAACCAGATCTACAAAGCTCTAACTTAATTCTAATGACAAAACACTAGAAAAGTGCAAAATGCTGAGCAAGTCCAGGAAAAATGTCTAACTCTGCGAACAGTGCCACACTTACAGAACACACCCAAATGACCCCTGACAATGGGTGACGAAGAATAAATATGGAGCTCCAACAGCACTAGTACTTTATTATAATTGCTTCCTGTCATCTGGACAACCTAAATTTACTTCTTCTAATGGAATATGGGAAATAGCTTAATTAAGTGATTTTATAGAAGCAGCTATATTTTTAATTGTATAGTATGTACCACAATAAAAAAGCAGTAGGTTCAGAAACAAGACAGCAAGAAGAGTCTAGATACTGGGTGGGTAGCAGGGTTCTAGGCAGAGACACAGAGAGTGAATTCTGCTTCTAAACAAAAGTTTCTCCCCAGTTTTAAATTTTTCTTTTTTTTTTTTAATTGGGTGTGGGTAGGGAAGGAGCAAGGAAACTCTTTTGTATCAACAGCAAAAGTAATGTAATAAAATAGTATCATATGGACTACATGGCAGCTAACACTGGCACCAATTCGTGGGGACCCAGCTTCTTAATTTAAGCAAGGGCAATCATGCTTTTAAAAATAGGACTTTCCAAATCCTACCATGTAGAGCTGCCGGCAACTGCAGCTGCACGATTAAAATAGCTCAATGCATGCCTTCTATTCTTCCCCACCCCACTGAAGTTTAAGGAGGTCCTTCCTCAGCAAAGTTGTCAAGTCAGCAAGATGGCAAAGCACTCTGGTCACCATCTGGATCCCCAGCCTTCCCTTCATGTAACCACTCTTCAGCCCCATCAGGGGCTTCATTACCATCCAGGGTCCCCACATCTCAGATGTCAAGTGCCTTCCTTCTCCTTTCCTCACTCCCTCTAAAACATGGGTAAAGATCTAATAATCAGTCTTTCATATTTTTATTGATCAATCAGATTATAATTTAATTAATACTTCAAAATAAATGTTTACCCTCTTCAGACAACTGAATAAGAGCCTTTTATGGGGATGATAGGTTTTTTTTCTCCCTCCCATTTAAGAGTACCATCACCTACTAGTCATTTAGGGGGGTGCAAAATGCCTAAAATACCCTAGATCTATGTGTCTGAACTTAAATTAATCTGGACCATCATGGTGTCGTGGTTGACCATTTCTTTTTTTGTTGTATTTTGTAGTGATAGACTTAACCTAGGGACTCGTATGTGCAAGGCAAAAACTCCACTATTGTACACCTCCAGCTCATGGTTGACAGTTTCTGCTTCCCCAAGAAGTGCCTAGGGCTGCTGAAAGGATTGGACCAAGATTTACAAAGGGCTGAGGAGGCTGTGTCTCCCTTATTGGCAGATGACTTCCCTCAGGCTTCCCTCAACCCAGGCCCAAATCCCTTCCTTTTGAGAGAATAAGTATACACACTCCTAACTTGACCCTAAACCTGTTTCCCCCACACACCCTGTCCTCCTGCAAATACAATGAATTTTCTGACTCATTTGATATAATTTTAAATG